GCCGGGGGGGGGGGGGAGGGGTACCAAGGGGCCTTAGCACGATAAACCCTGGGTCTGAATAGGGACTCAGCCATCCCGAAGAAGAAAAACAAAACAGAAGAACCCAACAGTCCTGAAGCAACTAATCGCCAAGGGAGCAAGTAGCTACTGATGGGACCACCCGTAGGGAGTAAGCCAAGAGCGACTGTCGGCGAAGGGGGTCGACAGTAACCATGAAGGTCATGGCTGGGTGGTCCCCCTCCTACAAGAACACCAGAGGGGTGCCGGAAGATCAATGGTCAGTCCCTCCGGTTCAGGGAGACGTTTACACTGACTGAAAGGGGTAGCCTTACCGAATTGGGTCCGGTGTTGTATGCAGCGTCCCAGCAAACCGGTGAGATGGAATGTGGATTGTCTATCCGTGTGTTAAAGGTACCCTTGACCTAACACGCGCCTGCCAGCGGGTCGTGGGAGAAGGTATAAGGGCAGAGCCTTTCCACGTCCGGGCGCCAAAATGTTATTCTTTTGTTCAAGCTGCAGCTGCTGATATAAAGAAAGGAACAACGGATAAACAACCCACGTGGAGTTTATTTACCAGAAAAGGGGGAAGTGGGAGATGGGTAGTCAGCCAACCCAAGAGGGACCAAAAGGAAGAGAGCAAGGGATGGGTGGCAGGACCTTATAAAGGAAAGGTTGCATATGCGCACTGGGGTTTTGCACCTCACAGGTTGCAATGCATGGCGGGTGAGTGAGTGCCCCGTTGTTAGGGGGCGGGGTCAGGGTCATCCAGGTGTATTGTTCTTACACTCAGGATGTCCATACAGCTAGTAGCAGTACTTAACATGAGTAGATGCATAGGACAGGCTCTAGTAAATTAATTGTCCTCACAGTGTCCCCGAGTAACACAGGAGAGTATGTTGAGGGAAAGTACTGACGGTATCCATGAGGCAACAGAAGCTCTGAGGACATGGGGACAGGAACAGCTTCCAGAACTCAGAGGAAACAAAGGACTATGAATGTTATGGGCACTGTCGGGGACTCCAGAGAAGTTCAACTGGAAGTGTGACAGAAGGCATCCACCCTCCTGCTCCTTTGGCTCCATCAGGCCTCCCACAGGCACCAGGGGATCCTTGAGTTCTCACTGCCTCAAGTAGGAGGCAGCCCAGACAGCAAGTCCTACAGAATAGCCAGGAGCACCTGCCACCATCTTCACACACCTGTGTGGTCCCCGCTCCATGTCCACACAGGTGGAGATGGTGCCTCAAGAACAAAGCTTTCTGAAATGCAACAGTGGCTGGCACCTCCACAACGTCACCTGGGTACCCCCATCACCGCCTCCCATGAGATCTGGGCATCTCTGCGGGGTTTCCCCACACCTGTGTGGTCCCCGCTCCATGTCCACACAGGTGGAGATGGTGCCTCAAGAACAAAGCTTTCTGAAATGCAACAGTGGCTGGCACCTCCACAACGTCACCTGGGTACCCCCATCACCGCCTCCCATGAGATCTGGGCATCTCTGCGGGGTTTCCCCCAGGGGCAGTCTCCCCAGACAACAGTATTTGTTGACAGTCCATCAATAGTGAGACAACAGCCTGACTCCAAACACAGACAAGGAAAAGGAAGCCAGGAGCTGAGGCACAGCACAAACAGCCCAGCTGTATAAAGGCGCCCAACACAGCACCTCACACACACACACACTCACTAACTCACTCACTCACTCACTCACTCACATCTCACCCTCTTCCATCCAACCCGCCATGGCCGCCTCCACCATGTCTGTCTGCTCTGACGCTTGCACCAACTCCTCCTGGCAGGTGGATGACTGCCCAGAGAGCTGCTGTGAGCCCAGCTGCTGTGCCCCCAGCTGATGCCAGCCCAGCTGCTGTGTCCCCAGCTGCTGCCAACCCAGCTGCTGTATCCCCAGCTGCTGCCAGTCCAGCTGTTGTGTCCCCAGCTGCTGCCAGCCCAGCTGCTGTGCCCCAGCCCCCTGCGTTACTCTTGTCTGTACCCCAGTGAGCTGTGTGTCCAGCCCCTGCTGCCAGTCTTCCTGCACACCATGCTGCCAGCCGTCTAGCTGCCAGCCCTCATGCTGTCAATCCTCCTGCTGTGTGCCACTTTGCTGCAAGCCTGTCTGCTGTACACCCATCTGCTCTGGATCCCCATGCTGCCAGCAGTCTAGCTGCCAGCCCTCATGCTGCACCTCCTCACCCTGCTGTCTGACTCTTTGCTGCAAGCCTGTCTGCTGCACACCCATCTGCTCTGGGTCCTCCTCATGCTGCCAGCAGTCTAGCTGCCAGCCCTCATGCTGCCAGCCATCCTGCTGTGTGCCTGTCTGCTGCAAGCCTGTCTGCTGCAAGCCCTGCTCCAGCGTGTCCCTGCTCTGCCGCCCTGTGTGCAGACCTGCCTGCTGTGTGCCCACCTCCTCCTGCTGTGCCTCCTCCTGCCAGCCCAGCTGCTGCAAGCCCTGCTCCAGCATGTCCCTGCTCTGCCGCCCTGCCTGCTCCAGCCAGGCCTGCTGTGGCCTCTCCTCAGGCCAGAAGTCCAGCTGCTGCTGACCTGTCCCAAGCTTCAGAGTCCCCCAGGTGCAGGTCTGAGACCCTCAGAGTGGTGAGCCCAGCAGTCCTGCTCCCCAGCACTGGGCTCAGCCTCATACCCATGTCCCCCTGCTCAGTTCCCAGTGTCTTCCATATTGCTTTGCCCCATTCCTTTTCATCTGCCCAGATGGTGGCTACTCTTCTATGACCAGTTGATGAGCTGTGAACCCTGCAAGCCATCTAAGTCCTCTCCAGAAAATCTGGCCACTCAGGGGGACAGGCTTGTGTGTCATGGGTTTCTCTCTGGGACCTTGGCCTTGAGCTGCACCCAGTGTTGGCTCTCTACTGACCATCATGTTGTCTAGTTTCCATTTGCCTGGCTCTTTTGAAGTCATCATTACCCAGCAAACTCCAGGGAGACCCTTTGTGCCTCAGACTAGACACCTGCCCTAGTTAGAGACTGCAGGCTCTGGCTCCTGTTCCCTGTCCTGGGCCTCAGAGCTGAGCTGACATGGGGTCTCCTTCTCTTGGCCTCTCTCCTCCACTCATTCCCCCTCCCCTTCCTCACTCCCCTCCATTGACATCTTCTACTCTTGTGAAATGAAATAAATCTTGAGATTCCTGGATGAGCTTGTGGCATTGGTCTGTTTCTTTAAGCTTCTGTGTTTATTTGCTTTCCAATCTCACTGGTCATTTCCACATTTGTCATCTCTGGGATCCAATTCTGTTTCCAGAGATTTCTGCCTGTTCTCATTCCTGGTGGCTTGATTCCTTATGTTTCACATCTTTTTTGGGCTGTCATGGCTGTCATGGGCTGACAGAGCACCAATGGAGGCCTTGAGTGAAGGTGAGGGAAGCACCAGGGCCATGATCAACTCTGATAGATTTGGGGCTTGATCTGAGGACCACACATGAGTTTGGGGACTAGAGAGATCTTCATGCAAACACACCAACTCTTACACACAGATGTACACAAAAGATATTTCCCCTCTATATTGTTCTTTGCCCAGTCAAATATACACTGTATATATACTGTATCTATAAATCCTAAAATTGCTAAGGACTGGTGTTGGAGAATTGAGTCATTGGTTAGTAGCACTGACTGCTCTTTCAGAGGACTCAATTTCCATTCCCAGGACCCAAGTCAGGTATCTCACATCTACCTTTAACTCCAGCTCTTAAGCATCCAATCCCCTCTCCCGGTGTCCACAACCACTCACATGGGCTTCACAGAAACATACACATGAATAAAATAAACCCTCACAAGAACAAGGAAGCTATAATGACTTGCCCGTAAATGTTTGGCTTTTAAAGACTCTGAAGCAGGGACCAAGCAGCTTCTTATCTTCTCTCATACTGTCTATCTCCTGATTGCATCTGGGCTGCTGGCTTCTCCTGTGGATTCAATCACCATTAGGTGAGTAGAGTAAGTTAAAACAACCAGAATAGAACAAAACCAAACACAAAAATAGAGCCAAAGAAAAAGCACAAGAAACACACACAGGTTCACAGACATACATAGTCACACTCAGAAATCCTATAAAAGCACAGTTGGAAACCCTAATATATAAGCAAAAGACCCATCAGATTAAAAAAAAGAGGCGTGCACACACACACACACACACACACACACACACACACACACACACACCATATGCACAAACACACATATGCACACACACCCACATGCACGCAAAGGAAAATGATCATAAAAAGCATTAGGAACTCAAAAACCTCCAAAAATACCTTTGAGCTTGTTTTGTGTTTGCCATCTACTGCTAGGCATGGGGCCTGCCCTTAAGTGTGTTTTGTATACCCATCGAGACTCTGGTGAAGAAAACTAATTTTTTTTTCCGGTGAGTGCTTACTAGCTGGAGTTAGGGGAGGTATTTATGTCCACTTCTCCATCCGCTTTGGACCCGTGCAGGCCCATGCATGCTTTCACAGTCTATGTGACATTCACAGTCCTGGGGGTCTAGAAAGCTTTGTTTCCTTATGTCCTCCATCTCCAGAGGCTCTTAGACTCCTCTGCCTTCTCTTCTGCAGAGTTCCCTGAGCCCTGAGGGGAAGGATTTGATGGATTCTTCCCACTTAGGGCTGAGTGCTCCAAGGTCTCTCACTCTGCACATTTCCACTTGTGCATCTCTGTATTTGCTCCCATCTAGTTCGGGAAGAAGCTCCTCTGATGATGGCCGAGGGAGACACTGAGGTGTAAGTATAGCTGACTGGAACTAGGAGTCATTTCATTTCTAGGTTTCCCCCCCACCCCTAGGTCCGTGGACTCTCTAGTCTCAGGTCATGCCCATCTGAGTGGCGTCAGGCATGGGTCATCCCATCAAGTCAGCCTTAAATCCAACGAGCTAGTGGTTTGTTACCACCACAGCTTCTGTGCCACTAGTGCAATGTGGACAAATCTCGAGTGTAGATTGAAGGGTTGATAGCTGGGTTGCTGTTTACCTTCCTCCTCTGGTACCATGCAGAGTACCTTACTGAGCACTACTCAGTAGGGGTGAAGCATTTAGGTAGGCACCAGCTCAAGTTCTCCATGTTCAATGAGTTCTGTAGGAGTTGTCTTCAGCAACAGAGCCTTACTTTCAGTTTGTGGTGTGTAACCTTGGCAATAACTTCAATTGTTTTGGTGTTTCCATGGGACTCCTTGGGCCAACAGCTTGGTTCAATGTCACCCATTCCTAGCACTGTAGGTTATATTGGTGGCAAGAGATGTCTGCTTGGGGCTTTGTCTCCCTGTTATTTGGTGATATATGCAATATATATAAAGAAACCTCTACTGTAGTAGGTTTCCAAATGACCCCCAAATGGTTGTTAGTTTTAATTATCTTTCCTTGTGTCCTCCCTTCCCTCCTCTTCTGTTCCATTCCCTGTTTAATTCGCCCATTCTAGCTCCATCTTGTCCATCCATAAGTAAATATTCTATTTTCCCTTCTCTGTAAAAGCTTCCCTCCAATGCTTTTGCTACTTATAACATCTGTGGTTATATGGATTGTAGACTGCTCTTGAAGATTTAACCGCTAACAATCATCCACATATAAATGAATACATACTATACTTGTCTGTTTGGATCTGGGTTACCTCACTCAGGATGATTTTTTCCCTAGCTATATCAGTTTACCTGCGGATTTTGTGGTTTCATTTTTAAACAGCTGGGTAACATTCTGTTGTGTGAATGTACATCATTGTCTTTATCCATTCATCCACTGAGAGATATCTAAGCTGTTTCCATTTGTGGCTATTATGAATGGAGCAGCAATGGACAAGAATGAGCAAGTGTCTCTGTGGTAGGAAGGAGAGTCCTTAGGGGAGATGCATCAGAGTGGTACAGCTTAGTCTTGAGGTAGATCAATTCCAGCTTACTGAGGAACCGCCACACTGACTTCCTTGGTGGCTGTACACGTTTTCACATACCCTAGCAAGGAGTAGGTGACCCTTTCCCCACATTCTCACCAGCATGAGCTATCATTTGTTTTATTGACCTTGTCCATTATGCTAGGTACAAAGTGATAGCTCAAAGTAGTTTTGATTAGCATTTCTCTGATGACTAAGGTTGTTGAACTTTTCTGAGTTTTTCAACTGTATGTGTTTATCTTCTATAATTCAGTTTAGACCTACACCCCATTATTAATTGTGTTGTTAGCTTGATATCCATTTTTAAAGTTCATTATATATTTCAGGTATTATCCCTCTATCAGATGTGCAGCCAGTAAAAATCTTTTCCCATTCTGTGCCCTGCCACTTTGTCCAATTGACATTCCTGTTGACAGCGTGAGTTCCTTCGTTTCATTTCTTGAGATATCTCCATTTTGCCTTAGATTTCTGAAATGGTTTTGTTGTCTCTGTAATTCTCACCCACTGCTTCTGGCTTCCAGGAGTCTGACTTATCCTGCTCATTGCTGTTCCCAGGGTTCCTGAGGAAGTTTTCAAAATCTTCCCCTGGTTTGGGCACACAGCTTTCTCCTTGTTTCACCTCGGCCTGCAGATCAACCATTGGCTCTGTCTCCTCAGCTGAGCTCCATGGGTGTGCAGGCTGATGTTTTTCAGGAAATCTGGCGAGTTTCAGCCTTTGTTTGAAATAAAACCTTCCCAACTGACTGCATGGAGTGCTCTAGCCCAGAATTTCATTCCTCCTTAGAGACACAAAGGTTCTAATCCATATGCCCACCAACCCCAGCCAGTGTCTGATGATAGAATGAGAAGCTATTTGGAGACCCTGAAGTTCAGAGTATCCCAAGGGTGTGTCCTTGACCCTCAGAAAAGGGGCAAAGTCAGGGACCATGAACTGATAAGTCACCAGAACTCAGGGTGTTCACAAGCTTTGTAGCAATGCTTATCATGAGTAGATGCATAGGACAGGCTCTAGTAAATTAATTGTCCTTACAGTGTCCCCGAGTAAGCCAGGAGAGTGTTTTGAGGGGCAGTACTGGCTTTGTCCATGAGACAACAGAAGCTCTGAGGACATGGGGACAGGAGCAGCTTCCAGAACTCAGAGGAGACAAAGGACTATGAATGTTATGGGCACTGTCATGGGCTCCAGAGAAGTTCAACTGGAAGTGTGACAGAAGGCATCCACACTCCTGCTCCTTTGACTCCATCAGGCCTCCCAGAGGCACCAGGGGATCCTTGAATTCTCTCTGACAGTAGAAGGCAGCCCAGACAGCAAGTCCTACAAAACAGCCAGGAGCACCTGCAACCATCTTCACAGCCCACACCTGAGTGGTCCCCACTCCATGTCCACACAGGTGGAGATGGTGCCTCAAGAACAAAGCTTTCTGAAATGCAACAGGAGATGGACTCTGCGGGGTTTTCCCCAGGGGCAGTCTCCCCAGACAACAGTATTTGTTGACAGTCCATCAGTAGTGAGACAACAGCCTGACTCCAAACACAGACAAGGAAAAGGAAGCCAGGAGCTGAGGCACAGCACAAACAGCCCAGCTGTATAAAGGCGCCCAACACAGCACCTCACACACACACACACTCACTCACTAACTCACTCACTCACTCACTCA